TCCACGCCCAGCGCGAAATCCAGCCTGGTTGGGTCGCGTCCTGGAGTCGCGCGCAGACTGGAACCGCCTGAGGAGAACAATAGCGAAAATCTTAACAGCAATATTGATGAGGCTTATGCTGCGGTAGTTTTCACATTTTGTCTTGTTTCCCTTCTTGTGGACAGACATAAGGATGCCTGAGCCCCAGTCATCAGGAACGGTCTCGTCTCTCCATGCTTGTCCAACCACCTCATGGAGCCAAGACACCAGAGTGTCGGCACAAGACTTGTAGATTTCAGCGGGTGTGCCGTCCTCTCCAGCTGCCTTATTGTTGCGCAGCATTTTTTGGCATCAGCTAATTCTGCTTCAGATGGCGGGTCGCATGACACTGGATAAGTGGAAGGAAAAAGTTTACCACTCTACCATTGCACAGGCTCGTTGATTTTTCGGTTGGGATCATGAATATGCGGGCTTCGCCGATCTGGTGGAGGAACAATCACGTTCGGTTTCGCCCTTGAGCTCACAATTAGAGCCCGCGCGCCGGCAGCCACATAGCGACTATGAGGACAAGGTGGAATGGATCCGAGAAAGCGAAGTGAAACTTGAGTGTCCATTTCTAGCTTTTTTACCACCATCAGCCAGTCACACCCGATTTAAAGGGTTGGAACCCCCGAGATTCGAACCCGGAACCTTTGGTCATTGAGTTTACCACTCTACCATTTCACCACAGGCTCGTTGCTTTGTCGGTTTTAATCGTGAATATGATGGAACTGGGGTGTTCATTCAAACTGTCTGATCTTTGGGCATATACTTGTCCGGGTGTGTCTTGAGGCTGTCGCTTAGTGACTTCAGACATGTGATGGAGTGAAACCGACAAAGACAACGGAGACCGGAATGGCCATTTCTGGCTTGCTAGCTGTCATCAGCCTGCCGTACCCAATCTTAAGGGTCGGAAACCCCGAGATTCGAATCCGGTACCTTTAATTGTAAACTCCAGAGCTAAACCGAACCCGCGGGGCATCTGGCACCAATAGACGAAGAGCCGACTTGATGCTCACCGATCGGTGCGGAATTCGCCCGTCCCGTTTATGCCTGGGGGCCCGCTCTTGAGCCCCGTCAACAGCTGTTCAACGGTTAGCATACTATTATAGGCATAAATACATTATTGACAAAGACTAGTAATGGCCTGTTCCGGCTTATTAGCCGTCATCAGCCAAACATATCCAAT